CTTAACCACTGAGCCATCTCTCCAGCCCTGCTTTTCTTTTTCTTTGGAGATGATGTTATTGTATAGCCCAGACTCCTGAATGCTGAGATTACAGATGGTACCACCACAACCCACTTAGCTCTGTATCATTATTTATTCATCTATTTAGTTTTAGATTTGTGTGTGTGTGTGTGTGTGTGTGTGTGTGTGTGTGTGTGCATGTGCCATGGTGCACATGTGGAACACACATATAATCCCAGCACTCAGAGGAGGACTGTGAGTTCAAGGCCAGCCTGGGGTATATAACAAGATCTTGTCTCAAAAAATTAAAACAGTTTAATGTAGAATAGTTAACATGAAAAGGTAATACATATTTGTACTTAAAGTACATTAAGTACAAATAAAGCATATTGCAAACTAATATAATTCTCTCTATATTCTCCATCTTATAGGAAAGATAATCATCAAAATGTTAATTCTGTTATTTCTAGGTGGCAGAATAAAGAGGCAATTTAAATTTTTTTCTTTGGAAGAGAGAACATAATTGTATTAATAACCGAAAGAATTAAAAATGGGAGAGCAAAGTCATTGAGTGCGTTCCTAGAAGGCAGAAGTAGGACCACCAGAAGTGACAGGGAAGCCGAGTTTGGTTCAATGTAAGAAACAACTTCCCAATAATTAAGAATTTTTTTTTTTTAAGAATTTTTAAGCCCAATGTAGTATTGCACACCTTTAATCTTAGCACTTGGGAGGCAGAGGCAGGCAGATCTCTACAAGATTGAGGCCAGTACATCTACAAATTGCATTGCAGGCCTGATAGAGCTACAAAAAGACTCTACCTTTTCTTTTTTTTTTTTGGAAACAGGGTCTACCTGTTTCAGCTTGCCTGGAACTCACTAGGTAAACCAAGTTGGCCTTGAACTCAGAGAGATCTGCCTGCCTTTGCCTCCCAAGTGTTGGGACTACAGCATGTGCCACAGCTGGTGAGATTCTATTTTGTTTTGTTTTGTTGTTTTTTTGGTCTTTTTGAGACAGGGTCTCCCTGTAGCTCCAGCTGCCTGGAACTCACTCTGCAGACCAGGCTGGCTTCGAACTCACAGAGGATCTGACTGCCTCTGCCTCCCGAGTTCTGGGATTAAAGGTGTGTGCCAGCACACCCGGCAAAACTCTGTCTTTTAAAAAAAAAAAACAAAAAGTTGAGGGCTGGAGAGATGGCTCAGAGGTTAAGAGCGCTGACTGCTCTTCCAGAGGACCCAGCACCCACAGTGGCTAACAACTGTCCCTAACTCCAATTCCAGGGGATCAGATGCCCTCTTCTGGCTTCCGTGGGCTTTACACAACACGGTACAGTTACATACATGCAGACAAAACACTCATACACATAAAATACAGAAATCAAACAACAAAAATTTTTTTTAATTGTTCAAGCTCATATTTAACTATTAAGGCCAGCCTGGGATAAACAAAACCCCCTTTTAAAAAAAAAAAAAAGCGCAACAGCAGCACAAATTAAGAGACAGTCTCTTTCAGGCATAGGACTCTTGATAGGTTAACCAGGCCCCAGGGGATGAACTCACACTGAAGGACATTTAGAGACAGTATAGGCCTTATTTTATACATACACACACACACACACACACACACACACACACACATATATAAAATAGAGTACATTAAATTGGGTAAGGGACAATAAGGGGAGGTGGGGATAGGGGAAGGGATCTAAATATCATCAAATTATACTTATGAAAACCACAAGAAAAAATCATTAAGAACATCTAAAAGACTGTATATATATGAATCTGGGCAGTGGAAAGTGGCACCAAAACTTCATGCTGGGCTGGGGGGATAGCTAAGGGCATAAAATGCTTGCTGCACAAACATCCTGAATTTAGATCCCTAGCACCCATGTGAGAGAGTCAGGCATAGCTCTTCAAAGAGCAGATTTCAGGGGCTTGCTGGCCAGTCTAGCCAAAATGGCAGTGAGCTCTAGGTTCAGTAAGAGACCCTGACTCAAAAAATAAGATAAAGATCAATAAAGGATGATACCTGACATCAACCTCTGGTCTCCACATACACATGCACGGTCAAGCACATCTGTGCACTCACACATATGTACACATGCACACACCACATACACATATATACACAGAAGAAAAAAAAGAAGGGCTGGTGAGAAGGCTCAAAAGCACTTATCCCAAAATCCAAGTGACCTGAGTTTAATCCCCAAACCCACGTAAAGGTTGAACTGATTCCACAAAGTTGTCATCTGACCACCACATGTACAACAAGGTATGCGCATCCACATACCATGCACATACACAAATAGTAATACTTTTTTTTTTTTTTAATCTTTTTGAGACAAGATCTTCCTGTAGCCCCATCTGGCCTGAAACTCACTACACAGACCAGGCTAGCTTCAAACTCACAGAAAACTGCCTGCATCTGCCTCCCACGCACTAGGATTAAAGGCATCCGCCACAATGCCCAACTAATAGTGTTAAATTTTTTTTAAAAAAGAAAAAACTTAGCAGCCGGCCCACACCTTTAATCTCAGCACTTTAGAGGCAGAGGCAAGCGGATCTTTGTGAGTTCGAGGCCTGCCTGGTCTACATAGTGAGTTCCAGGACAGCTGGGGCTACAAGGAGACCCTGTCTCAAAAAAAAAAAAAAAGAAAAAACTTAGTATCATACTGAATTTCTGGAAGGCAGATAGCAATGTCAGGGGCCTGAGAAATTTTTAGAACTAGTGACGTGAAAATCATTAGTTGTCAAAGAAGAATAATCTAAAAGATTCATTAAAAAAAAAAAAATGTCAGAAGCCGGACAGATGGCTCAGTGGTTAAGAGTACTGGCTGGTCCTACAGAGGACCCGGGTTCAAATCCCAACACACACATGGCAGCTAACAACCTCTATAACTCCAGTTCCAGGGGACCTAATGTCCTCTTCTGACCTCTGAAGGCATTGCATGACATGGGTACACTTACATACAAGAAGGCAACACACTTATACACATAAAATAAAAAATATTTTTAAATCTCATTTCAAAACTTTTCCAATATACACAAATGTACAAACCTAGAACAACGAACTACATATTCACTCAGCTTCATTCATCAACATTTTGTCAAACTTGTTTCATCAAAGCTGTTTTTTCTTTGCAATTTTTTGTCTTATTTTGTTTTGAGACTTATTCTATCACACTATTTTGCCTATAAAAACTTCAGCATGGCCGGGGGTGGTGGCACACGCCTTTAGTCCCAGCACTCGGGACACAAAGGCAGGCGGATCTCTGTGAGTTCAAGGCCAGCCTGGTCTACATAGTGAGTTCCAAGAGACCCCGTCTCAAAAAGACCAAAAGCAAACAAACAAACAAACAAACAAACACTTCAGCATGAAAAAGATGAATTTTCTTGTTAATAATAATATTTAATAAATTCCACTGCTTCAGCTAGGTACTGTCCTATACATTACATTTGTATTTGCATATATAACAATGTCTCACGTAAGCTAAGCCTCATTATCTTCACTTTGCAAATGAGTTTTTAGTGGGTCAAGCTCCCAGCCAGTCAACAGTGCCCAGGATAAACCAGAATATATGCCCAGAATATAAATCCAGAAGTTAACTCTAGACTGGATTTATTTTCCCAACCACTAAAGTCTGATGCCTTTCTACTCTATTTTAGCTATTCCTTATAAGCAATTACTCTTTGTTTTGCTTTAGAAATTTTCTTTAAATGCATCAAGTGAAAAAGGAAAATACAGCTACATATCAGTGTTAACTCCTAGGATATAAAAGTTGTCACCTCACAAGGGGAAAAGTAAACAACCAGGCTTTTTCCACAGGGCTTGGATATGAACAAATCTCTTTCAAACGTGCCTTCTAATAACATGGGTGGAAAGGTATCTTTACATCCACCAAGATCTAAAATAGTTCAAACAAAAAGAAATAAACATCAGTGATACTTGATTGCTTAAACAAAATCTTGAGTGAAAAAATAAAATAAACGAACTTTTCAAAAGAGAGTCTGAAAATTCCTGTAAAACTTTCCTTAGTGATTTACAATAGATCTTAGAGTATTGAAACTTATCTTTTGTATGGAATTTACTTAGAACATCTTCCTGAATCATCTTTACCTCTTCCCAAACACAAATTGAAGGGTTCTCTCCTGGCTCCTACTGAACTTTAAAAATCAATATTTTAGCATAATTATCTTCTTCTCTGGACATTATTCTTCTTTACATTCCCAGTTCCTAATCTTCAAACTTAGCACTACTGAAAGTACTCAAGAAAGGTGTGCTGAATAGGAAAAGAAGTGAAGCAGTAAGCCAGATATGGTGGTACACACCTTTAGTCACAGCACTTGGGAGGCAGAAGCAGCCGGGTCTCTGTGAGTTCAAGGTCTACATAGCAAGTTCCAGGCCAGCTAGGACTACAAGGAGACCCTGTCTCAAAAAACACACACACACAAAAAAAAAAAGTCTCTTGAGAGTTGAAAAAAGAATTTATTTACTTTGGGTTTTAATAGTTTCTAATAAAGTAAGGAGAAATCAGCTTGAAGGATCTGGAAGATAGTCTGATCTTTCAAAACCTTGTTTGTATTCAAAAGCCAAGATGCAGGATGATGTTTGAAGTGCCTGCTTTTATATTTCAATGCCAAAGGTAACAGGGAAAAAATTCCAAATTTTAAAGACCCCAAAGGATGATTAGCAAGGAACATCAGTTCATCTATTATTTAACTACAAAACAAACCCTAGCAAGAAGAGTAAAGCCTGGGTTACAGTCCTCAACCATATAGGGGGCACTCACTGGACTGAGCACTTCTCTAATACTAGTTAGCCAAACCACTCTGCATATTATCTGCTTAAAGAATCCTTTGAGGTAAATCTTTAGGCAAGGAAGTTTTCTTCATCATCAATTTAAGAAAACTCAAAACAACCTCTCTGTTTTAAGCTGCATTACCCTGGAAAAAAAAAGTTCCATCACATGTTTTACAAGCCATTCTTTGATACCATGTTACCTTGGTTAGAGTCTCCTGGGTCTTCTATATGAGCAATGACTTTGCTGAGATAAATGTCCTTCTGTTTTTCTAGATCTGACTGTGAAAACATCCTTGAACAAAGCAAACCAGGAGGAAAAACAGTCCATTAGAACCATGAATACAGCAGTACTTTGCAGAGAAGTCTCATACTGCTAACTGGTTAAAGCAACCAACTTTCAGAGACAAAATTCTCTTTAAGATCCAGTGACAGAGAAGGCTGTTAGTCATAGTATGAAGCTGAAATCAAGTATAACGTTTAGAAGTAAAAGGAAAAAACAAAATGAAACTCCAGCTAACAGAATATTAGAAGGTAAAGATTAACTAGTCCCTAGAGAAATAAAGCATTTGTTGAGTAATTCAAGTTTGGGCAGGAAATAGCCACCTTCATAGAGCCACACACAAAAAGCTGAATGAGATAAAGAGTGAAAAGAATCAGCTAAATTTGGCAATTAGGTCAATGGTAACCTTAGAAAGAGCAATTTCTGGTCCTTGCTCATAATAATAGCTCTGTACTAAAGAATCAGTGGATGAGATTATGGAGACTGTAAATTTATTACTGTCCTAAGAAGCCTGACTTCTGTTCATTATAATTTCACTGTAAGAAATTCACAAGATTTCCTTCAATTATGTCAAAGAAACCCCACAAAACCAAAATTAAGTGGAAAGAAAATTAGCTTATTTGTAATATTAAAAATTTTTAAAGCAGAATATATATAAATATATAATAAAAAATTTTTTCCATTTACCGTAAGGAAGCAAATCTGATTCAACCTAAAAAATAGCTTTTCTAGTACATTCAACTGTAAAGGCCCATGTACAGACACTGCCATCTCCTGGCAGCAAGAAAACAAACTGAAAAGGTGCCTCAAATCTGCATCCTGACTACAATCTGTCCTTAGTTGTATGCAAGTTGAGAGATAGTACTAAATGATTTTCAAAGAATTTTAACCTTTTTTGTTAAAATTCTGACTTCTTGCCGGGTGTGGTGGCACATGCCTTTAATCCCAGGACTTGGGAAGCAGAGGCAGGAGGATCTCTGTGAGTTCAAGGTCAGCCTGGTCTACATAGTGAGTTCCAGGACAGCTGGGGCTACAAGGACACCGTCTCAAAAAGATGACAAAAAAAAAAAAAATTCTGACATCAAATATGTGTCCATGCTTCCCCATGCACAGATAAAATTTTGTAATTTTATGTCTTTTTTATTTTGAAATAACCTTGTGAGGCATCAGAGAAGGCATCATTAGCTTTATTTTACTGACACAGAAACTGGAGAGGTTATTTGACTTGCTCAAGATCACACAAATAGGTAGTGTCAGAATTTTAAGTTTGCTTATTACCCATGCAAAGTTTCCTGCCCACCCCCCGCAACCTACCACACACACTAAGGGGATACTGGGAAGGGGAAGAAATGAAATGGAACCACCAGAAACCAGAACGGTTATACTGTGCCATTACCTGGTTTTGGTTTGTAGAACAGGGATGACTTTGCCTAGTCTTCTTTCACCTTTCATCTCCCCAGAATCCTTGTCAAAAACATGCTGATTATTTTTCATTGTTTTCCAGAGCAGAATACAAAAGGAAAGATGGTTATTAGTTATAAGTAATTCTTATAATTCTCAGTTATAACAAATATTAAAAACACTATGGGAATACATTTTTAAAATGTATTTTTATTTTAGGTGTATGGTTGTATTGCTCGCATACATAAGTGTACCCACCTTGTACAATGCCCATACAGGCCAGAAGAAGGTGTTGGATACCCTTGAACTGGAGTTAAGGACAGTTACTGGCCACCTTCTGGATACTGGGAACTGAACGCAGGTCCTCTGCAGGAGTAGTCAGTGCTTTTAACTACTGAGCCATCTCCCCAGCCCCAGGAATTTTTAATAAAAATCTATGAGGGAGCTGGAGAGATAGCTTAGTGGTTAAGAGCACTAGCTGTTCTAACAGAGGTTCAATTTCCAGCACCCACATGGCGGCTAACAACCATCCTTACTCCAGTTCCAGGAAAATCTGACACTCCCTTCTGACCTCCTTGAGCACTGCACAACAGTGTATACTTATACACATTCAGGCAATAGGCTCATATACATAAGATAAACAAAATTAGCAGGGCGTGGTGGCACATGCCTTTAATCCCAGCACTTGGGAGGCAGAGACAGGCGGATCTTTGTGAGTTTGAGGCCAGCCTGGTCTACATAGTGAGTTCCAGAACAGCTGGGGCTACGAGGAGACCCTGTCTCAAAAAGACAAAAAATAAAATAAAATTAATTTTTTAAAAAGCTATAATGTGTACCACATACTATTGTAGTATTTAAAAGGAAATGCCAATTATAATCTTTTTGTTTTGTTTTGGGTTTTTTCTTTTTTTTTTAAGGCAGGAGGATCTTTGTGAGTTTGAGGCCAGCCTGGTCTACAGAGAGTTGCAGGCCAGCTGGGGCTACAGGAAGACCCTGTCTCAAAAAGACCAAAAAAAAATTCAAACCATAATTCCTCTGAATATAAAGAGCTGCTAAACTGTAATAAAATGTAATGTTGTACACATGATGTCCGTGGTAGGGGTGGTTTTATATGTATGAAGATTAAGCATATAGGAATTCTTCTGAATGAAAATAATCTCATTTCTCTCTTTGCCTTGAAAAAAAATGTACTTACTCTGTTTGATGAACTGGAAACTACTGGACATCTCCCTTCACAACCTGATTTATGTGATCCACCATTTTTCCAGGACGGTCCCCTATTAGGTATCTCTGAATGGTCTGATATCTGAGAAAACATTGGCGTAGGTTTCTTACTATCAGAAACATTTTTGTCAGAGACAGTTTGTTCAAAGTTATTGTTTGAAGAAGAAAGTGGGGGCCCATCCCAGGCAGTATTATTAGGGCTGACCCCTTCAGGTTCAGGGCAAAGTTTGCTCTCATTTGGATGATGATCATCTTCTCTCCTCTGTTCCCCAAGGGAAGCAGGCTTTTCAGTATCTTTGGAGGAATCAATCTTATCCTTATCAAGCACAGTATCACAAACTGTTGGATTAAATGGCGCAACAACAGTTACTTTTATAAGATTCTTTTCCAGTACAAAGTGTCTGTTTAATGATTTACTAGGACTTGGTCCATGACCCACTGAAGTACTTAGTTGAGGTAGTTTAAAGAAGCCAGGGGTCTCAGCTGCTGGTCCCAAGGTGTACAATGAATTTTCTTGAGGAGTATCAAGTAGAATTTGACTCCCTCTCTCTCCATTCTGATCATGCCCACCATCATCATCTTTCAAGAGCATCTCAATCTCCTCCTCTGTGAAACTGAAATGGCCATCATCTTCCTCTCCGTCACACAACTCCAACAAGGAGTCATCCAATCCATCTTCATCTGAGGAACCCCAAGAAAATGGGGCATCATCTTTAGGCAAAAAAGAGGTACCAGAAGACTGTTCAGAGGGCAATAGTGAGCACGTCATATCTGGAGAAATATGAAGAAGTTTTGCTGAGGAACAAAAAATAACTTAAACCAATTCTAATCTGCCATTATGAAGAGGTGGCCTACTAATATCTCAAATTCTTTATTTGCACTGTGACTTACAACATGAGAAACATTTTTTAAGACATTTAACTTTAGACCAGGTGTGGTGATACAAGTCTCTAATCTCTAATCCCAGCACTTGGGAGGTAGAGACAGGCAGATCTGTGTGAGTTCAAGGCCAGCCTGGTCTACATAGAAAGTTCCAGGTCAGCCAGAAATGTATGATAGCCTGTCTCAAAAAAAAAAAAAAAAAGAAAACAACAACAAAAAAAAAGGTATTTATTTAACCTTGAGGCTAGAGTGATTGCTCAGTGGTTAAGACCATTTGCTCTTGCAACAGGACATGAGTTCAGTTCCCAGCATCCACACAATGGCTCATAATCACCTGTTAACCCCAATTCCAGAGGGCTACAATGCTCTTTTCTGGCCTCCACAGACACCAGACACACACACACACACACGGTACACATACATACAACATATACATGTAGACACACGTAACACATAAAATTTTTTTAAAAAAAACAAGCTTACTAGAATCATGGAAATGTATGTTAGAATACTTTTTTTTCTGATCAAAATGGTAAAAATTAAGAGGAATGATTATCTGGGTTGGTGAGGATACACAGACAAGCACCAACATACTATTAGAAAGAATGTAAGTCAATATACTATTTTTTGAAGAATAACTTGGCAATACCACCTAATCTAGCAATTTTACTTCCAAAAATTTATCTTTCTGAACCAGCTACTACTACAAAAGCACATGGAAACAGCCCCGGGTGCTCAGAGCAGGGTTTCTCAAAGCAGCCAACTACTGGAGACAACCTGAATGTCCATCTCCAAGAAAAACGTTCAGTAAAATCATAGGACATTCATGCTACAAAATACTTTTCAAGAGCCAGGCATGGTGGCACATGACTTTAATCCTAGCACTCAGGAGGCAGAGGTAGGTGGATCTCTGTGATATTGACGCCAACTTGGTCTACAAATCGAGTTCCAGGACAGCATAGAGGGAGACCGTGTCTCAAAAAGACAAAAAAAAAAAAGCAAAAACCCAACTTTATAAGTATTTAAAAACACATTAAAGTAGCTCTCTATATGTTCTATCATAGAATTATTTTCTACAACATAAAAATATTTTGTCTTATAAAATGTTTGGACACTGAGTTTATACTTAAAAAAAAAAAAAACATGTATTACTTTGTAGTATTAGTGACTAACCTGGAGCCTCACATGTGCTAGGCAAGCCCTCTACTACAGTTACATCCCCAGCCCCATGTCCAGGCGGACCTTGAACTTGCTCTGTAGCCTAAGCAGGCCTTGAACTTAAATCTTCCTGCCATAGCTTCCACAGTGTCTGGGATTATAGGCCTGCCATAGGCCCAAATGAAACAAACATATATTTTTGCGGGGGCGGGGGGGGCGTGGCAGGTGTCTGGCACTCAGGAGCCAGACACAGGCAGATCTTAGAGCTCAAGATCAGCATGGTCTACATAGTGAGTTCCAGGTCAGCTAGGGCTACATACTGAAACCCTGTCTCAAAAAAAGCAAAAAAAAAAAAAGAAAGAAAGAAAGAAAGAAGGAAAGAAAGAAAAGAAACTGGGAAGTATGGGAGGAGAAAGGGAAAGAAAGGAGAGAGGGAAGGAGGAAGGACAGGAGAAAGGAAGGAAGGAATACAAGAAAATAAACATCTTTCATACTGTGGCGCTGCTGGAGTGATCTGCCTCTGCCACGAGACCAAATGGAAAAAGGTTTCAACTCCTGCTGGCTGTTCCTTTCAGCAGACTTGTCAAAGTGATTGACTCCCACCTTCCTGCAGGTACAAAGAAAATTAAAGGATCTTCTCATCACTTTCAACTCTGCTAATTACAAAGTCAACTGCATTATGCTTCAAGGTGCTCCATCTATTCATTTTGATCTTGATTTTTTTTCAGTGAAGAACACCAAAGAAAATCTTCAGAGGAAAAAAGTATGCAACTAAAAAACTAGTTTGTTCCTCCCAACAATTTGCACAATCTTCTATCATTTGCTTTAGCGGGATGACTAAGGGCTAGAAGACCTGGGTAGTAGTCCTGGTTCTGACACTAACACACCCTCACCCTCACTGTTAGTCACTTAACCATTTGAATTTGTTTCCCCACAAAATGGGAAAGGGTTGGAGAAGGGGGACTAGGAGATGTTGAAGATTTACTGAAATCTAAAAATTACACTCATACCAAAAACAAGCAACACCCCGTCATTTTCCATATGCATAAAACACAAAGTTAGTGAAGATATAACCACAAAAATTGTTGATCATTACCAACTGCAGGGTCGAGAGTCAGCATCATTCTACTCTTTTTCTAGGAGAATATTTCTCAACTTAGGGGCAAGGGATATGACTAAGTGGTACAGTACTTGCTTAGCATACCTAAGCCTTGGGTTTGAGCAATCCTTAGTTCTTCATGCTATGTGGGGTGCTAATTTTAAGTAGCTAATGATGATAAGGGCTGGTAAGATGGTACAATGGGTAAAGGAGTTTGCTGTCAAAGCTGATGACCTTAATTCAAACCCACATGTCCTTCCACATATGAGCTATGGCATGTATGGGTACATGCACATACACACAAATGTTTTAAAAAGGTGAGGTGATTATAAAGCTGGCATTCCACTCTCACACCTAAAAAGTTATATAAGAAATACTTAAATGGACTCAATAATTGAACATTTTTTCTTTTTTTTTTTTGAGACAGGGTCTCCTTGTAGCCCCAGCTGGCCTGGATTCGCTACAGAGACCAGGCTGGCCTTGAACTCACAGAGATCCGCCTGCCTCTGCCTCCTGAGTGCTGGGTTTAAAGGCATGCACCACCATGCCTGGCTTAATAATTGAAATTTTTTAAAATCTTTTTTTCATTTTAGGATCTCACTGTATGGCCCAGGAGACTAGCCTCAAACTCAAGATCCTCTTGCCTCAGCCTCTTGAATGCTGGGATTACAGGTATACACCACCATACTTGGGTCTTAATATTGTTTTTTTACTCTTTTTTATTATTTTGGTCTTTTTGAGAAGTGTCTTCCTGCAGCCCCAGCTGGCCTAGAACTTGATATATAGGCCTGGCTGGCCTTGAACTCACAGAGATCTACCTGCCTCTGCCTCTGGAGTGCTGGAACTAAAGGCATGTACTACACCATGCCCAACTTTTTTTTTTTTTTTGGGGGGGGTCTTTTTGAGACATGGTCTCCCAGTAACCCAGCTGTCCTGGAACTCAGAGTGATCCAGCTGCCTCTGCCTCCTGAGAGCTGGGATTAAAGTCATGTGCCACCACACCCGGTCCCAACACCCAACTTTTTGAGACAGGATCTCATGTAGCAGGGTCTAGAACTCCTGATCCTCCTGCCTCCATCTCCAGAGGGCTGGAATTACAGGTATGTACTATCGTGCCTGGTTTATGTGGTGCTAGGGAATGAACTGAGGTCTCTGTGCATGCTAGGCAAGCACTCTACCAACTGATCTACATTCCCTGTTTTCTGAGGTACGGTATCATAGAGCTTAGGCTGGCCTCCAAATCACCACACAGCTGAGGATGGCCTTGAACTCCTGATGAGACCTGCCTCCACCTGGGACTGCAGGTGTACCACCACACATACTTGGCTCATAGTTTTGTTTTTTAAGATTTTATTTTTGGGCTGGAGACGTGGCCCAGCCCACCTCCAGTTACTCTGGAGTCACAGATGGCTGTGAGCTACCCTGAGGGTGCTGGGAACTGAAGCTGGAACTGCCAGTGCTCTTAACTGTTGAGCCACATCTCCAGAACCGCCCCCACACACACACACACACACAAACACAACTCCCTATAGCTTTTTCTTTTTTGGGTCTTTTTGAGACAGGATCTTTTTGCATCCCTAGCTGGCCTGGAACTCACTATGTAGACCAGGCTGGCCTCCCAAGCGCTGGGATTAAAGGAGTGCGCCACCACATCCAGCGCTTTTTAACTGTTAAATTTCCTTTACTCCACTACCTTCCACACCACACCTTGAATTTTAGCTTTATACCCTTCATATATTCTTTCAGCAAAGATTTTCTAAGCTACAGTCATCACATAGAATTGAGCTATATATGTCCCTATGATTTTGAAGAAAAAAAGATATGGTCCCCAGTCTCAAGGAACATTGAATCTTGCTACTAACACCAAAAATTAAATGCTAATATAGAATGCTATAGAATTTAAAGGGGGTGGGGAGAATTACAGAATTGTACAATCAGAAGGGATCCAGTTAAACCTACTCATATTAGAAGTATAATGGGACAGAAAGGTAAGAAATTTAAGCATCTATTGTAAACCAGGCACTGTGAGACACAGTAACTCCAAACACTTAACACAACTCTGTAACACTGATCTTATCAATGAAACCAAGTTCCTGATGTACTTAAAGTTAGAAACACCAATACCTTTTTTTGTTTGTTTGTTTTGAGACAGGGTCGCCCTGTAGCCCCAGCTAGCCTGGAACTCAATATGTAGATCTGGCTGGCCTGGAATTCACAGAGATCCATCTGCCTCTGCCTCCCAAGTGCTGCGATCAAAGGCGTGTGGTCAAAGGCGTGCGCCACCACGCCTGGCAAAACACTAATACATTTTACCAATAGTCAAGCCATTGGGGTTAGAAGGGTATAGTTCAGGGGTCTAACACATGCTAATGAATGTGCAAAGCCCTGGGTTCAATGTTTAGAATAAAAATCCAGCAATTCCAACATGGCAGTGTCTCCATGAAGAAAAAATTTCTGGAGGCTGGTGAGCTGGCTCAGCAGCTGTGCTTGCATCTAAGCCTGACAAATCTGAGTTTAATCTCCAGGACCCACACAGTGGAGAGAGAGAACTAAGCTGTCCTCTGACCTTTCCACGTGTGCCATGGCATGTGCTCACACATACCACACCCAATAAATAAATAAATAAATATATATATATATATGTCTTTTTTGAGACAGGGTCTCCTTGTAGCCCCAGTTGACCTGGAACCCACTATGTAGACCAGGCTGGCCTTGAACTCAGAGATACGCCTGCTTCTGCCTCCCAAGTGCTGGGATTAAAGGTGTGTGACACCATGCCTGGCTACAAATATGATTTTTTTTAAAAAAAATATTTTATTTTTATATTATGTGTATGAGTGTGTTGCCTGCATGTATGTGAGTGCACCTGTGTCATGCAATGTCTCAAGGGTCTTTTTTTTCTGGAACTGGAGTTAAGGATGGTTCGTAGTTCCATGTGGGTGCTGGGAATCGAACCCAGGTCCTCTGCAAGAGCAGTCAGTGCTCTTAACCACTGAGCCATCTCTCCAGCCCCTGAATATGATTTCTTAAAATTTATTTTTATTTCATGAGTTTTTTGCCAACATGTATGTAAGTGTACCTGTGTTGTGGAATGCAGGCAGAGGCTAGAAGAGGGTATCAAATCCCCTGGAACTGAAGCTAAGGATGATTGTACGATGCCACATGGGTGCTAAAACAGATCTCAGGTCCTTTGCAAGTGCAGCTAGTGCTCATAACCACTGAGTCATCTCTCCAGCCCATGAATGTGAGTTTTAAAAATTAGAAAACAGGGGTTGGAGAGATGGCTTAGTGGTTAACAGCACTGGCTGCTCTTGCAGAAGATCCTGGATCGAATCCTAGCACCCACATGGTGGCTAACAACCGCCTGTAGCTCCAGTTCCAGGGGATCTGATACCCTCTTACATACATGCATGCACCCATACATACATACATACATACATGCACCATACATCATGTACCCCTGACTGGCCTTGAAATCACAATGTAGACCAGGCTGGGCCTGAACTCACAGAAATCTGCCTGCCTTCCAAGTGCTGGGATTAAAGGTATGCACTACCATGCCTGGCATCTTAGTCAAATTTTCTCAGCCTTTAGGGAAAGGGGAAAAAAAGCAGCATCCAAATAAGGCCCACACAATGCAACTGGCTGGTGTATCTTCTATTTAAGGTTTCCCATCTTTCCCACCTTGCAGTTACTTATTAAACAGCATGTATGATATATGCATATATTATAAAGTTATACAAACAAGAACAAGAAACACCAAATTCAGAATAGCAATCATTTCTGGTGGTAGGGAGAAACAGGAATGTCCAGGAGACACCGGTAGCTTCAATTCTATCTGCAATACTATTTCTGAGACAAGACCTCATGGAGCCCAGAGTAGCCTCAAACTTGCTATGTAGCCAAGAAAGACGTGAATTCCTGCCTCCCAAGTCCTAGAACTAAAGGCATGCCTGGCTGTTTATAAAAACCAAAGACCAACAATGGAATGATGATGAAACAGCAATGGAGAGAAAAGCGGATGGGGCATGTAATGGTATTATTATACTATTTTGTTTGTCTGTTTGAGACAAGGTCTCACTATGTAGCACTGACAGAACTGGACTTGCTCTGCAGACAAGGCTAGCCTGGAACTCAGTGAGAGTGGTTGCCTCTACCTCCCAAGTACTAGTATTAAAGGCCTGTGCTACCACATTCTGCTCAGTTTATCTAATAAAAAACTTTAAGGGATGGCAAAATGGCTTAGCAGGTAAAAACACTTGCCCCACAAGCCTGGTGATCTGAATTCCTCCCAACTTCCACAAGAGGACCATGGCACATCCCTCCTCCCCATTCTAGAATACACACACACAAAGTTTCAAAATAATAAAACTGAAGCTCTTAGGTGAAGATTGACAAGACTGCCTTAATCACTTCCTCTTCCAGGCTGCCATCACCTGGCTTTCTTGGCACTTGCCTGGTAAACCCCATCAAAATATGGGAACTTGTTTATTTTTAATATCTTCCTATTTCCAA